AGACACAGAACAGATCCTGCGGGAAAACATACCCGGGAACGGCACAATAACAGATTGCATCTTCATGCCTGTGTACACAGGGGCAGAGCACGATTACACAGGCAGCCTTCACACTAGTGTGTTGCAACTGCTCTGCAGTTATAAACACTTGACTTAGCAGCCATAGGAACGCTCCTTCAGTGCCTAGAATGCTTGTAATTCCCTGTCTTTTTAACAAAGATGGAAACGCAGTATTGTTACCTTCGTGTGATTCACCACAGTGAACTCGTGTGTCCAGCTCACAAGGCCCTAGCACCTGAACTGACTAATCGGTATCACAAGCAGCACTGGTCCCATCTGGAGCAGTGACAGATGCTTGGCTAGGAGCTTTCACAGCTCTCTTCTGACACCAGAATAATAAACAGCAAGTCTTGACCCATCTCAGGCCTAAGGGCGATGCTGCTCAGCAGCCACATCCTGTAATGCCCGTTTTGCCCACACTGAGAGGCTTCTGCCCTATGTGCACCACCCTCTCCACTTCTCCAGGTCCTGCTGCTCCTCCTCTCACTCTGCACAATCAGAATCCTCACTTGTACTCGTTGTACTTCCTCACTTGGCCAAACCTTCACCACTTGGTGTAGCTCTATAGAGTAGAAATCGAACCACTACATGCAAAGATCTGACCTGTGGCTTCCTGAAACCCAGGTGAAGAGGTTGAGCAAGCATTCTGGAAGTATCATTGCACTCTTGGCTTCTTCTTGCCCTTTCCACGACAGCTGCTTTGACCACTGAGTCAGGATGCCAGGTTAGGTGTACCCTGATTTAATCCAGCACAGCTGCTGTTACATCTACACCCCAGCCTTGTGAATACCTGCATCCAGTTTCTCTTTACCCACCTGTGACACTTCTCCATTCCATCCCCTTGCCAACCTCACTCCCAGATGAAATTACTTAAGGCAGTACTATCAAATAAGTCCCTGCTGGCCACATTCAAACTCCAGATTTTATTCAAAGGTTTGGAACTTGGTCAAACACATTTAGATTATTGATTAAGGGAAAAAAACCAAACAAACCCACCACTCCAACCTAGCCATTCACTCTTGAAAATCTTCACTGACCCAGCTCTACTACAATGCCAGAACTTTAAAGAACAGGCTAAATATACTTTTAAATAATTGACCTGAAGAAAACAGCATTTTTCTGAGTTGCTCACAGCCAAGACCAAAGAAGGGAGATAAATTATTGCATCCAGAACATACTAAATAAAACAGATGCCTGGAAAATAAACTCTCATCCCAAACAGCTACAAAGTTTAGCAGAGTTATAAGCAATTGCAAACAGTGTCACCTGATAGGAAATGTCAAGCTGTCTCAAAAGACATACAGGATAAAGGCACAAAACAGAAAGCACCATGCTGCCTGCACCTACTCCTGCTATAACTCACACTCATGTACAAACTCACATGCCCAGAGCATCACTCTAGAGGGGGGGAAATAATCAGGGGAGCACTGGTTAAACATTTCTATTTCCCAAATTTTCCAGTAAACATCACTCAAACAAAACCAGGGAAATCATGACACTGCTTTCCATTCTGTAAATATTTACATTTAGCAAAAATGCAAAAAAATGTTTTGTTTAGGAGCAGCGGGGAATGTTTTAATGGTTAAGTGACATTTTTGAGTTAGCAAAATGTTTGTCCCCTGAGTACCCATCACATTAAGCAAGTTATCAAAGCTGATAAAAATGGCAGCTGCATTTCCCAAAAGAAGGATGTGGGGGGAGGGAAAAAATTATTTTCTTCAGGATGGTCCCAAAATTCTTTTTTTATTTTTAAAAAAGTAGATCTTTTCAGACCATTACTTCCTACCACCCCTAAGTTTCACATTAAAAACCCACAGCAGAGCAAGTTACTGAAGGGCCAGATTTCCACACTCCTGTAGTTTGCTGACTGTTACCTGAAGGAAGCAGCAAGGCTGTTGAAGAAATCAAGCATTTTTCTTAGAAAAAGGGCAGAATTTAGTTCTTGGCTCTGGCAGCAACACTGCATGCCAAGCTACAGCTCCACTTCATGGCATTTTCACCCATGCATTAACATTCAAACCCAATGTAAATCTCACATTTACTTGTGCTAGAAGCTTTAGAGAGCTGCAAAAACATTTAAAATATTTCTAATCCTCTTAGTAGGTATAGAAGATATCAAGGTAGATTATGTTTCCCCACTATCAGACCTACTGTAAGATTAAAGACTTTGGGTTTTTCTTCACCTCTTTGTTAATCAGAAAGCAAATCCACTACTTGTATTAAGAAATAAGAAAACCAGACAAAACTAAAGCTTAATTGCTTGGTGAGAAATCCATCCTTTTTTGCTCTTTAGAGATCTGATACCTTGAGACAGCACATTCTAAGAAAATATCAATAGACAAGACACTTCTAAAACAGTAAATTGAGAAAGGAAAGACTGCAGATCTCCAGGACAAGAATTATCTCTGTGCTGTGTGTTTGAGCACCATGCTACACGTGGTCTCAACAGGGAACCACAAACCATATCACTATGAAATCAATGAGCAGTAACAGCCTTAGAGATGAAAAAACACTGACCAGGTCACCCAATCACTGCCAGTCTGTCCCCAGCTGTGCACTTTAAAGGATTAAATGCCAGTATCTTGAAATATATATGGAAAATAACCATGCAGTGAATATACAGTTTCAGGGTCAGTACCACAGAAATACTACAAGGTGCAAACAACTGCCACAAGAGCTCTGTCCATCTGCTCTGATAACTGCCCTGCTTCTTAAGCTTCCCCCAAGACAAATGATTGTGCCAGTCTGCACAATGATTTTGTGACATGGACAGTCACAGTAGGGAAAAAGTCTATTTTTAGATCTCATCCTCCATCTGCTCACATACAATTCTGCTTGGATATGAAGTCTCTCTGCTCAGTTTCTCTTCTGCACTCAGTCTTACTACAAACATCTCATTTGGAGCCCCAGGTAGCTCTGGAAAACATCTTCATAAACAAATGGCTAGGAAAAGAATGTGCTGTGCTGTTCAAAACAAGACCTTACATGTGAGCCTAGAAAAAGCTTTATTACAGGAGATAGCAGACCAGTATGTTTATAAAGGGTCACATGTAGCTCACCCCATGAACACAAGCTGCTGGCTTTTACAGACAATCCAGAGCTTTCACTCTGGTGAAATAATGGAAACCTCTTTTAATACCACCCACCACCTATGAACCCCCAGATCCAACCATTTCACAGATATTCCTGGCCCCTCTAGGAATTCCATTTACCTTGTAGAAAAGTGCATGGCACAGGAAGAGCTTCACAAGGCTGGGTACTCCACAAGCAACACTGACAAGCCAGCTCAGGCTTGCAAAGAAGCATGAAATGCTCTGGTTGGTATGGAGTGGCTCACAATCCATGACATCCAGTTAACCCCACAAGCAACCAGAGAAACAAGCTGAGCATTTTTAGCATAACAGGTATTTGGGTACTTTTATTTTAGAGTGCACAGCCTGAGACATGGCTGTCAGAGTACTGAAAGCTGACAGTAAGAAAAATGCACAACAACCCTCAAGTTTCTCCATAAGATATTTAGATGGGCAACCTAAAACTCAGACCACTTCTGGAAACCAGGGCCACTGTGTGTTTTCTCCCTCCAAGTCATGAGAGAAGATGCCAATCAGGTTCCTGAGCAGCTAAATGCACAAGTACAGCAAATATCAGGACATTTTTAATGTCTCACCTTTACATGCCTCAGCAGCCAGACATGTAGAAACATGAAATAAGAGATAGTGTGATTCATGGGAGAACCCAAACAAATGATGTGCTGTGGAACAGGAGTCCCAGCTCTACCACTGCAGCACAGCTGTGCACTCACTGCCAGCATGCAGAGCAGGACAAACACTGCAAGCTCTCCTCTTGTGGACACTGACACTTTACTACAGCTAGACAGCACCTTGTCCTTCAACCACACCTTGTACAAGAACTTGTACCTCTCTAAACAGGCCTCCTACTGACATATCATACAAAATCCCTGCAGCAACTACAAACACAGCCTCCTACATCAGCACAGCATTTAGGGCATACCTGTGATCAGGTCAGCAGTGGAAATTATGAGGAGGGAGTCTCCATTGTGCAGGCAGCTTCCTAATTTCGCCACAAGCAGGAACATTTGCCACGAGCCAACATTTGCCCACAAAGGGGCAAAAGGGGGACAGGCAGGTGCAATAGAACATTTTTTGTACACTTAAGTACTCATAGTATGGGTTCAGCAGAATCACTAATTTAATTCTGAGCTTCTACAAATTCCTGAGCTAAACTGCTCCTGTCAAAAGCTCTTTGCAAGATTCCAGCCCCATTCGTCTGGAGTGACATCTACTACATTATGCTGTCAAACACCAGACCACAGTCAACACTTCAGACATGCTGGATCAGGTCCAGCACAGGCACATGCTGGTATGGCAAGATCTAACAGAAGCTGAAAGTTTGCCCAAGTAACACAATTACTTTGGGAAGAGGTCACCAGCCTACTCAGCCTACCAATACATCAGTGTATTCTACCATGATAAAAACACCTGAGAAATACCAGCATAAATAATTTAATCAAACCTAAAGGGAAAAACAGGTAAACAAAAAACCCTGCCTGCATTCAAATCACATGTAAACAGCACATGTGTTAAAAGCCAAAAAAAAACCAGCAGCATAATCACAGATCAGGACAGAATGGAATGTCTTTGTTTACTGCTTCTAGTAGCATCAAGACAGTTAATCTATTTGATTAATCTCCCACCACTACAGATCCTATCCCTCTGATGACATGGCAATTTGAAAACCTCACTCGTGCTGTCACAAACATGAAGTCTTCAGGGGGAACACAGACTCAGGATAAAAAGAGGAGGCTCCTTTTAAAAGGTGCCACTTGAAAGCATCAAATATCTCTACAGATCCTCAGCATTACATACACATCTACTGCATCTTCAGAAGAAATAATTACAAAAAAAATAAAGCCATGTTACCTGGAGCATCAGTTCACAGTCATCTCTCCCAACAAATATCATCTCCCGAGGGAGCCGGTGGCGAATGCCAGTGCTGCTCACCAAGAACCACGAAGTCACGCTCATTTTGGCGCTTGGCACTTAACCTTTATACATCCTAAACACAAAAAAACCCCACAAGACACAGTTAGCTATTAACGAAGTGTGCAAGTACAAGAGTGTGTAGCTGCCGTTCCCAAATTTCCCTCTACCGTCGGACCCAACGCTGCCTCATGCACTTGTGATCCTATCTTAAATCTCTGGTGACAACAAGCAGTTGTGAAGCGTCTGCCAGGACCTGCTGCCCATGTGTAGGAGCTTTGCAGCCCTGGGAATATTCCCATGGCAAAGTAAGACTAAGGATCTGCAGAAAGGAATGTTTAAAAAATTGAAGCATCCAGCTTGAATCCAATGAATGAAATTATGAAATATGGTGGAGGGGAAAAGAGAGAAAACAACAAAGGTCTCCTTTCCAGAACATTTCCAGAACATTTTCCAGAACCACTACCACAGTGCTACACAGCCTGAGCCTCCCCCATCACCAGAGACGTGGACCAGCACATCAGCGAGGTGACATAACGTGGCTCCTCTAACCTTTCTCAGCGCATTCCCAGGAGCGCTTACACCAGCGCTAGGAGGGAGGAGACCAACCTCCCCATCGCTCATCCCACTTCCACACTGATGTAAGTTGGGAGCCACAAATCCTTCCCTCCTTCCTTCCTTCCTTCCTCCCCCGCTGCACGGCCGCTCCAAACACCGACCCGCTCTCCAGGTCGGGGAGCCCAGGCTGCGATGGGTTCCCAGCGGGGCTCGGTGCGGAGGGGCGGCATTGCTGAGCGGCGTGCGGCACTCACCGGCCGCTCTCCCGGCCACACCTGTTTGTTGTCGCTGCTCCTGCGGCCTCCCCGCCTGCCTCTCCCACGACATCCCATTTTCCCCTGCCTGGCTGAAGGAAGGGGCATTCACGGCACACGCCAGGCTCTCGCCTTCCCCTCACCCACCTCCCGGGCTCCCAGCTGCATTCCTAAGCGCACCGGGGCAAGGAGATCTCCATTTTCCCCGGGCTGCGCGGCGCTGCCCGGCCCGACCGCCGCCTCAGCGGCCTCGGGCGCTCAGGTGGGGATGGGTGCCTTCCGCGGGGACCGGGCACAGCCCGCACGGCCCCCGCCGCCTCCCCGCCGCTCCGGGAGCCGCCGCTCCGCGCTGCCGCGCCCGTGTCACGACACACGAGCGGCCCCACACACCGCGGCCCCGACAAAGCGCCCGGGAAGGGGAGCCGGGAGCCGCCGGCACAGCCCTTTGTGTGCCGGCTCCGCGGCCCCCCGGCCCCTGCCCGCCCGCCCGTCCTACCTGCTGCGGCCCTCGGCGCGGTGGCAGCCGGGCACCGCGCCCCGCCAGCCGGCTCTGCCTGCCCCGCGGGCCGCTCCCGGCGCCCGCCCCGCTCCGCCCCCGCGCCGCAGGTTCCCGACGTCAGGAGGCGGCTCCAGCCCTGCCGGGCCCGGCCGGGGGAGGCGGCGGTGCCGCCGCGGGTCCCGCACCCGGCCCGAGGGGCACCTGGGCGGAAGGTGCTGGCCTGGCTTTGGGTCCTGTCATCGCTGCAGCGACACAACCGTGGCCTGGGTGGGGTTGGAAGGGCCGTAAAGGTCATTTACCTTAAAGGTCATCTACCTTAAAGGTCATTACCTTGCCACCGTGAGCGGGGATGCCAACCACCACACCAGGTTGCTCAAAGGCGTATCCAGCCTGGCGTTGAACATCTCCAGGGATGGGGCATCCGCAGCTTCTCCAGGAAGCCTGTGCCAGTGCCGTGCCCTGGTTCAGGGCTCTCAGAGGGGCTCAGTGAATGCCAGCAGAGCCTCTGGCACCTCACTGGCCAGGGCAGCCATCCCTGACCTGGGAAGGTCCAACATGCAGGCTTGGTGCCATGGGGCTGGAGATGCTGCCTCTGTGAGATACCAGGACCAGACCCAACACCAGCCCAAGGGAGGTCCAGCACCAGCCTCTTCTCCCACACAAGTCCCAGCACCAGCTGCTTCTCCAGCCCAAATCCCAGCCCAGCCTCTCCAGCCACCCAAGTGAGCCTCAGCACCAGTCTCTCTCACTCTCCAGCCAGCTGCAGGTTGGCATCCATCTCCACATACCCTCCTAACTCTTGCAGGGCAGTTCCTAAATGCAGTTGGCAGGACTTGAGCATATAACCATGGAATAAGAGCTCGAAATGGGTGCTGTGAAAGGACATGCCATTTTATGAGTTCTTTTCAGTTGTAGGTAACTAGAAAATTCTGAAGAACTGTAAGTGCCGTGAGTGATGACAACTTTTTCTCCCATTGTGAGGAGCACTGAATATCTTGGCAGAGCTTTCTCAAGAGAGCCCAGCTCCTGCAGATGTCAGTGGAGCTGCAAAGAGCAGCAGCTGAACACTGGTTCTCTGGCTCCAGCTGACACAGGCTGCTAAAGGAAGACTATAGGGAGACCCCAAGTTCCTAGTGATGTTTTCCCAGGCTCATATTCCAGCTGGAAAGACAGCTTTGTTTTTATACACTGTGCAGTTGGGTTTGAGAATTGTTTATCAGTCACCTGCAAGAACTTTTCTTGGTCTATTCAGTGTTGTGTACATTGGAATTTTGGCTCAGGATGTAATCTTAATAAAGTCTGATGGCACAGAAATCACAGTTCTGGCACATATCTTGCAGAGGGTGGCCCTTTAGCCACATCACTTTGTGGGCTCACTCCTGATTTATGCTTTTGCTGCAAGGCTGAGGAGCCAGGAAGGGCAAAGTGAACTGCAGCAGGACTGTAAGGATGGAAGGAAAACAGCATTTCTTCCTTTTCCTCCTCTTTCTGAAGAGCAGTAGGACTTTGTTATCATTTAATTAATGCTATTATTGCCTTCCTTAAATCAACATTTGACTTCTTTCTTGGCAGATACGTCATGCCCCAGAGTGATTTCAGGGTATCATTATCTTCAAAGTCTTGGAAGCTGGCTGAGCTGCAGCATCTGTGTTTTATTGAGGTGCTCTTGGTCTCTGCTTGGAGCAGAGCACCACACCCTTGCAGCATGCCATGTCCCTCAGACACCAGGCAGGAGGATGGAGGGAGCAGCTGCCACTGCCAGGGCACTTTGAAGGCTTTTATGCTGAGGGCTGACATGAAGTAATAGAAATCCTTAATAAATAAAAATGGGTTTCTGCCCTATTTTGCCAGCTCATCCCATCATTGAATGATGTTTTATTATTGATTTAACTGACCTGTAGCTTAAGTTTTTATATGTATTATTCACTTGTTTCTGAACTACGTCTCTTTACTGGAGAGGCTGCTCTATGAACTGATCTGTAGAGCATCTCTAAACTCCTCAAAGGAAGTAGGATAATTTACTTCTTTATACAAGCCTGCCATCTAGGCAAATCTTTGTTATAAGTTGCTATAAAAAGGTTCATGTTTGCTTTAGTCTCTCTTTAAGCCCAGTTTTACCATGCATTTATCCATGTGTATTTATTTGAGCAGTCAGTCAGAACTTCAGTGTTTATAGGGAAGGAAAAAAGTCCCTGTTCCCACCAGGTGTCTTCTGGCCTGGCTGAAGATGAAGTTTGGGCCAGTACCCTGGGTTTGGCTGAATGCTGCATTGCAGCCTCTTTATTTTTCTCCAGTGATCTAAAAGGAATAAAAAAGATAATTAGTGATGTCTTTCCTTGTCCTCTCTCCTCACCCCTCCAAAAAGAGTGTGTGGGCAGCATATCCTGGTGCTACACTGTCATCTTTAAATCACACTCAGAGCATGTGTCCATGGGGAAAACAAGCTGTTGCACTGCTGTACTTTGAGTTTTACATTTTTTTTCATCTTGAAACAAGCCCTTTTGGCAGGCAGTGTGGCCCTTGGGCTGCTCAAGCCCCCAGGCTAGCCAAACACACAACTGTCTTGGAAAATAGAACCCCATAAAAATGACATAAAAGCACTTCTTCCTGCTGGGAGGAGGAAAGTTTAGGGAAAGTCCTCACAAAGTTGGATGTAGCAGCAGCACCATGTGCTCACACTAAATTTGGGGCATATGTTTATCATGTAAATATCTCTACATTCATCTAGAGCATTGTCACCTTCAGCTACAGGGGACATGCTCACAGCTGTGTTAGCCTTCATGGCCCAGGTGGCAGCAGGTTGACTGCTCTGTACATTGTGCAGAGTAATGACCAGTCCCTGTCCCAGAGCACTCATATTCCCCCTAAACAAGGACATTGAGGGCGAGGTAAAATGTCCAGGCAGAAGAATAACAGGTCACAGGGCAATCTGTACCCAGAGCTGTTGAATCAGGTCCTCTGCTCCACTGAAATACTTTGTCTGACATCCTGAACCCACAGCTTGGAGCAGAACCACTTCAGATCCCTGCTTCAAAACAAAGATCCCACCATCCCCAAAGGAGCTGAGCTAAATCAAATTCTTGCTGGCAGGCTCTGATGTGAAGGAGATTTTTGACAGAGTTGCCAAACAAGAGCTGCATCGTGCTGCAGAGGAGGCTTCTGTTCCATAGCCTGATCCAGATGTCCTGTTTGGCCTCCCCTCTGAAGGGCAGTTTCCCTGTCCATGAGCTAGATATAAACATGGTGAGCACCTTGTAAATGAAGGTGTGCAGGACTGCTAAGTGAACGTGGCCTGATTAACTCTTTGCAGGCTGGCTGAAATCCAGTGTGCACAGCTGCAAACATACACCGTGTGTATGCACACACATCCAGCCTGCAAACATACACAGTGTGTATGCACACACATTCATGAGTGCAAGTGCAGCTCGTGAATTCCTGACTGCTTTGCATCCAGGGGCTATAGAAGCAGTTGTCAGTCACTGTTCCCCGAGATTATTTCATTTGTTCTTTGTTAACTCACTTTGAGAAGCATCAGCAGAGGTTCACAAGTAGGTCACGCAGGGTTTCTTAACCACTTCTTCATTCAAATGGATTCCGCTCCTCAGTGATTACTTTCTTTCCCAGAAAACCGAAATTGGAACCACGCCAGCTCTTTGAGCCCTGCCGCAGGGAGATGTGTGCCTGCAGCATTCTCACTTCAGGTCAGGATTTCTGCCTGGATTTTTGCTGTAACCAGGAAAGATCTGTGGGCTGTCACAAGAGAATGCTGCAGGTCTGGACCTGTGTTCTTCACACAGCTAATGGTGCTGTTGGCTGCCAGCAGAAAGGGCAGCACTGAGCCCTTTCCTATGGAGCTGAAACCAAAGCTTTTCATCACTGGTTCTGGGTATCAGCATGAGCAGGATCAGCATAAAATGCAAATAATCCCCCTTCTGAATATGCACCTTCTAAATGTCATTTCAAAAACATTTCCCTTGAGTTTTGTTTGGGGTTTTTTTGTTTGTTTGTTCATTTCTTGCTGATTGATGATTTTTAAATGACTAAAAATAATTATTTTTAAATGGATGTTTATCTTAATTTTAGTTAGCTTGGTGTAGGAACCTTGCTTGTTGAGTTCGCACCAACAAAAGCAATCTGCCCCTCCTCTCTGTCTAAGCACCAATCCTTCACTCTGCCCAGTACCTCAGCTGTGCTGGTTGCCAACATTCCCCTCTCCTGTATAGCCAGGAACAGGCCCCAGCCCTGCCCAGTCAACTGGAAAACAATAAGAGCATTCATGTGCGTGGTTATTCCCTGGCATAAATGTTTGCAGAGATACAGTCTGACTGGGACAGGCTTCTGTCGTTTGGATTGGTTCTACAAGATGGCTTTTTGCAATATTTGTGTTTTTAACCTGTTTATGAACCAGCTATAGGGACAGATTCTTAGCTGGAATGTGGTAGCATTGCCCAAAACAGCTTTAGTTTGGCATCTTTGTTTTACACCAGCTGGAGAATTTTACTTGTATTTTTTTTTACCCACAGCATAGTCCTACATACCAAGATTAAATTTAATTTTACTACTATGGAATTTACTAAAATAAAACCCCATTTGTGTTAACACTTCTTTTCAGAATGTGCAGTATGGCCTTCTCCAGTGATCCTCTTTTATTCCCCTGCTAACCCACAAAAAATATCCTATTTTTATTATGGAGAGGAATTTGTACAACTATTTTTAATTTATGATCCTCATAACTTGTGGCAGGGGAGCAGGAAGAATTATCAGTGCAATAAAAGAATGGAGCTGGTTTAGTGTGAGCATTGTCAGAATGTCTCATCTAGGATCTGTGTGGTATAAAACTTCGCTGAAAGAATTAAAACATACGCTTAAGTGAGCTCGTTTTAGGGGGGTTTAATTAGTAAAAGCTCGGCAATGCTGATGTCGTGCTGTCTGATGAGATTAGGTCAGATTATACAGAGTTGTGTGGTGTGGCATCTTAAATGGGAATCACCTTATGGCAAGTCGGAGCCATTTCAATATCACATTTAAAGAAATAGCTTCTCAGGGAAAGTTGATTGGTTTCATAAGAG